GGAGAATATCAAGGCAGCATGAGGAGGATTTCAGATGTTGTAGTATGTCCTTCAGGGTTTTAGGGTTAATAGAATCAAATTGCCTCATGCTATATGAATTGTTTTTAAGTGGACACAGGGACAAGACATATCCTGTTACTGAAATGGAGGCACTGATTGCTTGTCTAATTGTTTGAATTTTGTCTGTGAAGAAGGAGGCAAATTCATTGCAGGCCCTGGTGGATAGAAGGTCAGAGGCTACAGACACAGGAGGGTTGGTTAGCCTGTCGAAAGTAACAGGGCACGTGCATTCTATGTGTTTTTGGTGATAATGTCAGAGAAGAAGGACCGCCTTGCATTTCTCAGTTCTAAATTATAAATGCAAAGTGTCTATAGACTTCGCATATTATGACTTTATAGATGTCATAATGAACCTGGAGATTTGTTTTCCACCACCTGCGTTCAGCTTTTCAACACTCTCTTTTTTGAGTTCTAACCAGCGTGGCATTTCTCCATGGAGATCTTCTCTTACCAGAGACCACCTTCACCTTGGCTGCTGCAATGGCATCAATAACATTTTTAATTTTAGAATTTAAATGATCTACAAGCTCATTGACTGAGACCCGTGAGAGGGCGGGTGTCGAGGAGAAAGCCTCAATAAATTTTTCACTAGTGTTTTTCAGTGATATGCCATTTTGTGATTACCACGCAGATAGCACTCTCAAAGAAAACACAGGAATGATCAGAGAGAGCAACATCAATCACCACAACATTGGAAATGTTCAGACCCTTGGAGATGACCAAGTCCAAAGTGTGCCCCTTATTGTGTGTGGGCTCCATCACATGTTGGGTCAGCCCATAATTATCAAGAACACAACACAGTTCATTAGTCCCTCTGTCCTGGGGGGTTGTCAACATGGATGTTTAAATCACCAACAATAACCACACAGTCAAAGTCAATACAGATTATAGACAGCAGTTCACCAAAGTGATCAAAAAAGTTTGCACAGTATTTAGGGGCCCTTTAGATATTTAGAAAAATAGCTCGAGAAGAGGAATTCAGCTGAAGAGCCACATATTCAAAAGAAGCAAAATTCCCATAAGACATGTTTTTGCATTGGAGGGAGTCATTAAACAAAATGGCAACTCCACCTCCTCTCTTGTGCGCTCTAGCTTCACTTATAAAACTGAAGGTGGGAGGGGTAGACTCGATAAGGACAGCTGCACTGTTATCTTGGTCCAACCAAGTTTCAGTGATTTAAAATGTTTTTCCTGCCAAAGACCTAACGTTTAACAAAGCTAATTTTAGTGTGTTAAAAACATTATCTGGCCCACTTTTTTCGACAGGCTGCGGCTGACGAGGAATTAATACTAAATTTTGCAGGATATGTTGAGTGCTTCCTGTTTCTTAACACATTCACCATGCTTTTTCTGTTACCTGTCAAGACAGGGATGGAGAAGACTACCAGCAGAGTAAATTTGGTCCCAGCTCTAACCAGGTCTTCCATGTGATCAGTGAAGTCCAACAGGGGGGAGAGGGGAGAAAGGGAGTCTGGAGATAAGGGTGACCTGGATGGGGATTGGGGGGGTAGAGATGGGTGAATCCTCACTGTTGGTTTTCAGTGAGGGAGGTGGAGGCTCTTCCTCTTGGCTCAGATGTCTCCCGTGATCAGAGCTCTCTTCCGGCGGGGGCTGAGGTGGCTCTCCTTCAAGGTTTCTGGCGTGTTGTGTTATGTCTTCTTCTTGTTTTGATTCCTCTTGTCCTTGGCAGAGGGAACAGAAGAGTGACACAGAAAGTAAAACAGGCTGGAGCTGAACAATTTTACTCCTGACTTGCGAAGTCCATCTGCCTTAAAGGTCCAGTGTGTAATATTTCTGAGGATCTTTTGATAGAAATGCAATATAAGATCTATAACTATGATTTCATTGGTGTATAAAGACCTTATATAATAAACCATTATGTTTTCATTAACTTAGAGACATTTATATGCACATAACTGCGGGCATCCCCTTCCATGGACGTCGCCACGTTGCATCGTCATATTTCTACAGTAGCTGAAAACAGACAAACAGCGCTGTAAAATGCGTTTTCGTCACTGCATTCTTCTTGTTCTACTTCTTCTCCTACTACTAGAATTCAGGCAGTGCGGACACTCATCACTATTTTGAATATGTACATTAGAAGAAAAAGAAGTAGTACTAATATAGTACTAATATAGTATAATAAGTGTTGAATCTGAGCAATATTTTCAACCATTAGATGGTGTATGAGAATATAAGCCATAACATTACCTCACTTTGGCATGTAGCTCAGTTAGCTCAGTTAATAAGGCGCAGGGTTTATATCCAAAGTATAGTGGTTTTAAATCTACCATGGGACAAGTTTTTTTTTTCTCTCCAACAAATGGATTCTGCAGCAAATGTTTCTGAGATCACGGCATGTGCTGCGCTATTTTTGTTTTGGTGTTTGATCCTCATCCATCAACCTACGGACACTTTTTCCTTTCCCCAGTATCTCCAGGCAGGGGACATTCAGGGGAATCACGTTTTCTGACGGCTCTTTCAGAGGTGTGTCGTTAGTAAGTAAGTAAGTAAAAGCTCAGTTCAACTTCAAATAGGAGATTGCAATCAACAAGCTTTCTCGTGCATTTGTTTTGTAGGCAAAACCACTAAAGAGGAAGTGATTATGTGAGTAACTGTTGCTGTCATGACTGAGATCTATTTTTAAGTAAAGCTATCAAAGCATTTATTTATTTATATTTTTTGCTGCTATTAAAGCACCATAATCTGGCAGTGGGCCAGATATTATTGTTGCCGGGCAGTAAATATAATTTCTTAATAAATCTACCTAAAGAAACCTCATTTCTTGACTGGACACTCTCTGCTGTCTCAGAAGAGACATCTTTTGTGCTGTGTCAGACACCGTAGCTGTCTTACCCTCTTTGAAAGGTTAGGGGGCAGCGGTAGGCTGGACACTAGATGCCAGTATATCTTACACGCTGAACCTTTAAAAAGATTTCTGCGGTCCCACAGAAATTTTCAATGAAATGCACTGAATGGAAAGTACATGCCGTTGAGAGCCACGTGTTCAATGCCATCAATCTGCTGAATCTCCTCTTTGGATTGGCGGTATAGGGCCACTGATAAACACCTCAGCATTCAAAGAGCTAACTGTGATGCCAGTGATGCCGCATCTGGTGGACCGACACTGATGTGGAGTATGATGTTTTTCACAGTAGGATGTTCAGTCACGATATGCAGGATTCTTTCTGCCAAGTCAGACACCGTATCCTTCGGAGAGTATTTTGGTGTTCTTACTGCACATGCTTCTTACATCATTTACAGCAGCGTCACCCACAGTCAGAGTTTGAGGCCCAGTCGTTAGCTTTCCCTGCAGCCTTTTTACTTTTTCTGATTTACTCTCAGTCCTTACCATTCTGTGTGAGGACGGGAGGTTATCCAGGTCATCAGACGGAGATCCAGGGTCCTGCAATAGTGGTGAAAATCTGTTCTGCTGTTGCACAGTCGGTTGTTGGGGAGGTTTGTTGCTAATTCTCCCTTTCGCAGCTTTCCACGGCTGTGTCCTCCTAAGAACAGGGGTTGAAGAGGCGCTCTGCCTGGATGATAATGCAGGCCAGCCAGTTGCATCACAAATCTCAGGGCGCCAGGTTCTGACTGTTACCTGTTCTCCCATTTCCCCCAGGAAATGATTTGCTCTTAGGCTTTTCACCAAGAGCGTTCCAGGGAGGACTCCCAATTTTGGATTTATCACCCAGTACACAGGCCTCCTGCTTCTTGGTAGTCTTGTTGGTGCTAATTAGCCATGTGTTAGCATGCTCTTGTCCACTGTTTTGGGTCCACGGTAAAGTGGTGTCATTCCCACATAGTCCATTCACTTCCACATTCACTTCTAACCTGTGGATCTTGGTTTCCAGCACTGCAATTTTCTGTAGAAGTTTGTAGAGGTTGTCCGTGGAGAAGGGAGGCATCTTGTTGCTAATTAGCATTAGCTATAAAACCAGTCACTGTAGTACAGGCTAGTGCTATTGGTAGGCCGCACTCGCGTAGCACTAAGATCATAAATGTTTTTAAAGAATGGCAAGAGCAACTTTATCTGACAGTCCAGTGATTTAAAAGTATCCAAGAGCCACTGCTCATAATTTCTAGCAGGAAAAAAAGAGAGTTTAAGTCCTCGAAGACTTCTCTGTTCACTTTGGCGTAAACCAGAAGTAATTGGAACTTAATTTAAAACACCCGTTACAAAGTCCCCAAGAAAGAAGTAAAAATATAAGAAAAACATTTGTGATACAAAATAAATCTTTTATTTAGTTGTAATTACGAAAAGATTAATCAGCATTGTGTGAACTTGTTTGGAAATGGCTTGAATGTAATGTTCATTTATATGTAAAAGTTCCACACTCTTGCTTTAAGGTGGGATGGCATGAGAGTCAAAGTAGTTTTGGGAAATGTAGCTTCACACACTGAAGCACCTCCACTACAAATGAAAGTCTGTGTCCTGATGTTTTTGAGTCTGACTGCAGTTTCTGATGTGCTCTGTGTTACAGTGATACAGGCTCAGAATGGCTGGGGAGTGACTTACACCTCTACTCAGATCTGTGCCTTAAAAGGATCAACAGTGGAAATAAACTGCACCTACACATACCCATCCAGAATAAATGACCGTGATACTACAGTTGAGGAAAACTTCTGGTTTACTCAGATGAATGGAGATGTACCTGTGGATCTGAGAACAGACTCAGAGTACGCAGGTCGTTTGCAGTACAGTTGTTCTAACAACATCTGCACTCTGAGAATCACATACCTGAGAGAGAGCGACTCAGCTGAGTACAAGTTCATGTTCATAACAAACCAACCAGGTGGAAGATTTACTGGTTCACCTGGAGTCACTTTGTCTGTCACAGGTAACATTCATCTGATTTTAAATAATTTTATAAATATGTTGCATTGCATGTGTATTTATGGTCTAAAATAATGTTCCTGTTCTTTCTTCACAAATCCAGATCTCCAGGTGCAGGTTAGCAGACCAAACGTTGGCATGATTACTACTGAGGCAGAGCTGCTTTGTCACAGCAGCTGTCGTCTGCCTGATCGTCCTTCCTACATCTGGTACAAGAATGGACAGAAAATTCAGAAAGAAACATCTTCTTATTCAGACTACTTTGTTTCTCCAGACAGTTATTCCTGTGCTGTGAAAGGACTGGAGGGTTTCCCCTCTCCTTCAGTGTGTGAGTTTACTCCACAATCTTCCACTAACATAACACCATCTGGTGGAGCCGAACACATAACTACATGTATTTGTTTAACTACATGCATTGTGACTCCTCACCAGCTCTGGTTTCAAAATGGTCAAGAATTGTTTTTATCTTTCAGGTATTCGCGGTCAAACCTGCCATAGAGTGACTTACACTGACAGAAGCATCTGTGCCTTCAAAGGCTCATCAGTGAACATTTCTTGTACTTACAACAGTTATGAAACTATCAGATCTAAATTCTGGTTCAGACCTGAACGTAGTCTTCAGTGGCAGAATCCCTCACAGCCTGAGGACCTTAGTGAAGACTCCCAGTATGCAGGTCGTGTTCAGGTCCTTGAAACAGAGAGAGGACGCTCCACTCTGAGAATCACTGACCTGAGAGAGAGCGACTCAGCTGAGTATCACTTCAAATTCACAGCAGGAAGCTTTGAATGGAGGAGTAGTTTACCTGGTACAACTCTGACTGTCACAGGTACTGATGAACACAAACTGTAACAGCACATTTAAACTATCTGATGACAACTGAATGTGCTGAATAGTGATCCTAATGGGAAAGAATTGTTATGTCCTGATTAATTGATTACATGATTGTTATAATGTTCTATTGTTTATATCTCTGTGTATGTTGTGATTCAGCACCACATAAAGACAAACATTTCTGTTTTTTCTCCACAGATTTAGATCTCCAGGTTCAGGTGATCAGATCAACAGTCTACAAAGAATTATACTGAGGCAGAGCTGCTTTGTCACAGCAGCTGTCGTCTTCCTGATCGTTCTTCCTACGTCTGGTTCAAGAATGGACAGAAAATGGAAAGGGTGGAGACATCTTCTTATAAAGATCAGTTTTATCCTGGAGACATCATCTCCTGTGCTGTAAAAGGACATGAGGATTTCCGCTCTCCTTCAGTGTGTGAGTTTACTCCACTGTGTCGGGGAAAAAAACAAATGACAATTTCAGACATAACCATATTAGAGTCTTCTAGATCTAAATGTAGATGCAGCTTTCACCGTTTGTCCTGTGTGCAGGCAGGAACAGGTTTAGGACTCAATTGCAGAACTCTAAGGCAAAAAGATCCAATCTTAGTCTGATGTTTAGTTTCTGATGAAGATTCATGTTCAGTGTGTAGATGATGATGCAACAGCTGTTAGTATAAGGAAAATAACTTTTTAAAAGTCTGTTATTTAGACTCAACAGAATTATTTCAAAAACATAAGAAAGGACATGATCTGCCAGCTGGCAACAATTACAACTTACCTGAGAAGACTGTCAGGACTGACTCAGTAAACAGGACCTGTACACAACCAGCATCCTGTATTTTAGAGACAAATGATTAAAGACGTGTTATTGGCTGTCAGTTTCCACCAGCAGGAGTCAAAAATCAGCACTCTGGACAGCTGCTGTGACAAATACTAGAGAGAATCAAAAAGAAACAAACACAGAGAAGTTTTAATGAAAATAGTTAATCGTCTACGGTAACAAATTCTAATCTTGAAGTACTTCATGTTCATCTGTTCTCCAGATGCTCCAAAGCTTCCCTCTGTGTCAGTGAGTCCCTCTGCTGAGATAGTGGAGGACAGTTCAGTGACTCTGACCTGCAGCAGTGATGCTAACCCAGCAGCTAAATACACCTGGTACAAGGAGAACCAAACACTGATTCAGGGACCAGAGGACATTTATAATTTTACCTCTATCAGCTCTAAGGACAGCGGGATCTACCACTGCAAGTCTGAGAATGAGTATGGCCAGATCAACTCCACATCTGTATCCATAGATGTCCAGTGTAAGTACAAAACATCAGCAAAGCGCTTCCACATACAATGTGTTTAATTACAGATGTAAATGTCTGATGAGCTTAGACTATCAAGTTCTAAAGTAGTATAACAAGGGGTTTAAAGGATCATTTAAGATTTCTTTTTTTAATTCTACCTTAATAATATAGTCATTTATACATTAAAATAGTTTTTGGTCACTAATAATTCCTCCTGTTCCTCCTTAAAGAGATACCTTCATAGAGCAACATGCCTTCCAAAGTTCAGCTTAAACTAATTTGAGGCTTCAGCAGTCTGAGTTTCATGAATCAGCTGTAATTTCAGAAATTACAGTTGTTTTAGTCCAAAATTCCCTTTTGGTGTTTGTCCAGACAGTGATTCTTTGCTGAGCTGCAGCAGAAGGTTTTGCTCCATTGTTGTCCTGATGTTACTCTGTCATTCATCACATACAGGTGCTGGTCATATAATTAGAATATCATCAAAAAGTTGATTTATTTCAGTAATTCCATTCAGAAAGTGAAACTTGTATATTATATTCATTCAGTACACACAGACTGATATTTCAAATGTTCATTTAATTTAATTGTGATGATTAAAACTGACAACTAATGAAAATCCCAAATTCAGTATCTCAGAAAATTAGAATATTACTTTAGACCAATACAAAAAAAAGGATTTTTAGAAATGTTGGCCAACTTAAAGGTATGAACATGAAAAGCATTAGTATGTACAGCACTCAATACTTAGTTGGGGCTCCTTTTGCCTGAATTACTGCAGCAATGCGGCGTGGCATGGAGTCGATCAGTCTGTGGCACTGCTCAGGTGTTATGAGAGCCCAGGTTGCTCTGATAGTGGCCTTCAGCTCTTCTGTATTGTTGGGTCTGGCGTATCGCATCTTCCTCTTCACAATACCCCATGGATTTTCTATAGGGTTAAGGTCAGGCGAGTTTGCTGGCCAATTAAGAACAGAGATACCATGGTCCTTAAACCAGGTATTGGTAGCTTTGACACTGTGTGCAGGTGCCAAGTCCTGTTGGAAAATGAAATCTGTATCTCCATAAAGTTGGTCAGCAGCAGGAAGCATGAAGTGCTCTAAAACTTCCTGGTAGACACAAGGAATGCGACAGCTGAAACCCATGTCTTGCATACGTCTGTGTGTGGTGGTTCTTGAAGCACTGACTCCAGCTGCAGCCCACTTTTTTTGAATCTCCCCTACATTTTTGAATGGGTTTTGTTTCACAATCCTCTCCAGGGTGCGGTTATCCCTGTTGCTTGTACACTTTTTTCTACCACATCTTTTCCTTCCTTTCGCCTCTCTATTAATGTGCTTGGACACAGAGCTCTGTGAACAGCCAGCCTCTTTAGCAATGACCTTTTGTGTCTTGTCCTCCTTGTGCAAGGTGTCAGTGGTCATCTTTTGGACAGCTGTCAAGTCAGCAGTCTTCCCCATGATTGTGTAGCCTGCAGAACTAGACTGAGAGACCATTTAAAGGCCTTTGCAGTTAATTAGCTGATCAGAGTGTGGCACCAGGTGTCTTCAATTTTTAACCGTTTCACAATATTCTAATTTTCTGAGATACTGATTTTGGGGTTTTCATTAGTTGTCAGTTATAATCATCAAAATTAAAAAGAAATGAATACTTGAAATATATCAGTCTGTGTGGAATGAATGTATACATTATACAAGTTTCACTTTTTGAATGGAATTACTGAAATAAATCAACTTTTTGATGATATTCTAATTATATGACCAGCACCTATAGTGGTCTGTAAACAAATCTTACCACATCAGAGTTTGTTCAACCAAACTAAACATGTTAGGTGTGAAAGCACCCTCTTCGGGTAGATCACTAACCAAATCACAGAGTGACATGGAGTTTGTTCTCATTTGTCAGTGTATTTTTAGATTATATATGTGTCATGTGAAATATAGACATGCTTTCTGTTCTTGTTTATCCGTTTGATATTTTCATTGTTACAAAACGTATAGCTTTGATGGAGGAGAAATTCACATTCAAATGCCTCTCTTGTCCATTCTGAGGTAGTAAAACATGTTAATAGTGTATTTTTATTAAATGTCATAGTTACTCACTACACAGTTTCTCCCCTACCATGTCAGGTTATAAAGTGGAACATTCTCTTTGTGTTAGTAATGTTTCTCTTTGGTGCCCCTCCCAGTAGGCGGCACTCAAAACAACAAACTTGTTTGCCTGGAAACTGTTGTATTTCTCTACATGTTCTCCTCCAGATGCTCCAAAGCTTCCCTCTGTGTCAGTGAGTCCCTCTGCTGAGATAGTGGAGGGCAGTTCAGTGACTCTGACCTGCAGCAGTGATGCTAACCCAGCAGCTAATTATACCTGGTACAAGGAGAACCAAACACCACTGCAAGAACTACAAGGCATTTATCATTTCAACTCCATCAGCTCTGAGGACAGAGGCATTTACCACTGCAAGTCTGAGAATCAGTATGGACAGATCAACTCGACATCTCTATTTGTAGATGTCCACTGTAAGCATAATAATAATTGAAAATTTACTAGTTTTCATTTTTACAATAATAGATTTTATAAAATGTGTTTGAGATTTCTTTCCTGAAACTGGGCAAAAGCTTAAAACCCAAGTAAAATCTGCCACCACCAAATGTGGCATACTGGTGGCATTAGAGCAATCCTGACACAGCGCTGTCAATGTGGAGAAGAGGCTGAATATATTATTAGCAGGAGGAACACAGAAACAGCAGGTGGAGTTGGAGCAAGACTCAGTTACATCCAATCATCAGTCATCAATCAATAAATAATAACTTGTATTGCTCCTCCTAGCTCGTGGCACCCCATGCCTAAAAACAGGCCTGTAAACAAATATACAGTGGGTACGGAAAGTATTCAGACCCCTTTAAATTTTTCACTCTTTGTTTCATTGCAGCCATTTTCCAAAAATCAAAAAAGTTCATTTTATTTCTCAGTAATGTACACTCAGCACCCCATCTTGACAGAAAAAAACAGAAATGTAGAAATTTTTGCAAATTTATTAAAAAAGAAAAACTGAAATATCACATGGTCATAAGTATTCAGACCCTTTGCCGTGACATTCATATTTAACTCAGGTGCTGTCTATTTCTTCTGATCATCCTTGAGATGGTTCTACACCTTCATTTGAGTCCAGCTGTGTTTGATTATACTGATTGGACTTGATTAGGAAAGCCACACACCTGTCTATATAAGACCTTACAGCTCACAGTGCATGTCAGAGCAAATGAGAATCATGAGGTCAAAGGAACTGCCTGAAGAGCTCAGAGACAGAATTGTGGCAAGGCACAGATCTGGCCAAGGTTACAAAAAAATTTCTGCTGCACTTAAGGTTCCTAAGAGCACAGTGGCCTCCATAATCCTCAAATGGAAGACGTTTGGGACGACCAGAACCCTTCCTAGAGCTGGCCGTCCGGCCAAACTGAGCTATCGGGGGAGAAGAGCCTTGGTGAGAGAGGTAAAGAAGAACCCAAAGGTCACTGTGGCTGAGCTCCAGAGATGCAGTCGGGAGATGGGAGAAAGTTGTAGTAAGTCAACCATCACTGCAGCCCTCCACCAGTCGGGGCTTTATGGCAGAGTGGTCCGACGGAAGCCTCTCCTCAGTGCAAGACACATGAAAGCCCGCATGGAGTTTGCTAAAAAAACACCTGAAGGACTCCAAGATGGTGATAAATAAGATCCTCTGGTCTGATGAGACCAAGATAGAACTTTTTGGCCTTAATTCTAAGCGGTATGTGTGGAGAAAACCAGGCACTGCTCATCACCTGTCCAATACAGTCTCAACAGTGAAGCATGGTGGTGGCAGCATCATGCTGTGGGGTGTTTTTCAGCTGCAGGGACAGGACGACCGGTTGCAATCGAGGGAAAGATGAATGCGGCCAAGTACAGGGATATCCTGGACGAAAACCTTTTCCAGAGTGCTCTGGACCTCAGACTGGGCCGAAGGTTTACCTTCCAACAAGACAATGACCCTAAGCACACCGCTAAAATAACGAAGGAGTGGCTTCACAACAACTCCGTGGCTGTTCTTGAATGGCCCAGCCAGAGCCCTGACTTAAACCCAATTGAGCATCTCTGGAGAGACCTGAAAATGGCTGTCCACCAACGTTTACCATCCAACCTGACAGAACTGGAGAGGATCTGCAAGGAGGAATGGCAGAGGATACCCAAATCCAGATGTGAAAAACTTGTTGCATCTTTCCCAAAGCGACTCATGGCTGTATTAGATCAAAAGGGTGCTTCTACTAAATACTGAGCAAAGGGTCTGAATACTTTTTGACCATGTGATATTTCAGTTTTTTCTTTTTTAATAAATTTGCAAAAATTTCTACATTTCTGTTTTTTTTCTGTCAAGATGGGGTGCTGAGTGTACATTACTGAGAAATAAAATGAACTTTTTTGATTTTTGGAAAATGGCTGCAATGAAACAAAGAGTGAAAAATTTAAAGGGGTCTGAATACTTTCCGTACCCACTGTAAGTTGTCTCTCTTTTGTCCCCAGATGCTCCAAAGCTTCCCTCTGTGTCAGTGAGTCCCTCTGCTGAGATAGTGGAGGGCAGTTCAGTGACTCTGACCTGCAGCAGTGATGCTAACCCAGCAGCTAAATACACCTGGTACAAGGAGAACCAAACACTGATTCAGGGACCAGAGGACATTTATCATTTCACCTCTATCAGCTCTAAGGACAGCGGGATCTACCACTGCAAGTCTGAGAATGAGTTGGGCCAGATCAACTCCACATCTGTATCCATAGATGTCCAGTGTAAGTACAAAACATCAGCAAAGCACTTCGACACACAATGTGTTTAATTACAGATGTAAATGTCTGATGAGCTCAGGCTAGAAACAATGTCATGTTCTAAAGTAGCATCATAAGGGGTTTAAAGGATCATTTCAGATATCTTTTTTTTAATTCTACCTTAATAATATAGTCATTTGTACATTAAAATAGTTTTTGGTCAGTAATTATTCCTTACTCCTGTTCCTCCTTAAAGAGATCCCTTCATAGAGCAACATGCCTTCCAAAGTTCAGCTTAAACTAATTTGAGGCTTCAGCAGTCTGAGTTTCATGAATCAACTGTAATTTCAGAAATTACAGTTGTTTTAGTCCAAAATTCCCTGGTGTTTGTCCAGACAGTGATTCTTTGCTGAGCTGCAGCAGAAGGTTTTGCTCCATTGTTGTCCTGATGTTACTCTGTCGTTCATCACATAGTGGTCTGTAAACAAATCTTACCGCATCAGAGTTTGTTCAACCAAACTAAACATGTTAGGTGTGAAAGCACCCTCTTCGGGTAGATCACTAACCAAATCACAGAGTGACATGGAGTGTGTTCTCATTTGTCAGTGTATTTTTAGATTAGATATGTATCATGTGAAATATAAACAGGCTTTCTGTTCTAGTTTATCCGTTTGATATTTTCATTGTTACAAAGCTTATAGCTTTGATGGAGGAGAAATTCACATTCAAATGCCTCTCTTGTCCATTCTGAGGTAGTAAAACATGTTAATAGTGTATTTTTACTAAATGTCATAGTTACTCACTACACAGTTTCTCCCCTACCATGTCAGGTTATAAAGTGGAACATTCTCTTTGTGTTAGTAATGTTTCTCTTTTGGTGCCCCTCCCAGTAGGCGGCACTCAAAACAACAAACTTGTTTGCCTGGAAACTGTTGTATTTCTATACATGTTCTCCCCCCAGATGCTCCAAAGCTTCCCTCTGTGTCAGTGAGTCCCTCTGCTGAGATAGTGGAGAACAGTACAGTGACTCTGACCTGCAGCAGTGATGCTAACCCAGCAGCTAAATACACCTGGTACAAGGAGAATGAAGACTCACCAAAAGCATCAGGACAGAACTTCACCATCACTGACTTCAGAGCTGAACACAGTGGGAATTATTACTGTGAAGCCCAGAACAGAAAAGGACGTCATAACTCCACCTTACATCTGATTGTTGTGGCAGGTACGTTATAATTTACCTTCACACACCTGTTAACTGCAGAGTTTATTTCCACCTGACAAGGTGCCACCACATTTAAAGGGGTCCTCACGCATCTTTGGGCTGACCTTGGGTTACAGAAGCTAAGTTATTTTTACCCTTTGATTAAACCACTCCCAAGAAAACACACTTAAGCCATCATTTGTGTCCAGTTATCTTCCCTATTGGACCCAAACATTCCTGTAACTTTTCCAGTGTTTGTGCTTGATTGTTGTTTTCCAGGTTCATTGAAATTTCCAGTTGTTCTATCAGTCATTGCTGTTGTTCTGGTCTTCATACTTCTTCTCTCTGTCTTCATATGGATTAGGTGAGCAAATCAGTTTAATATGCATCTTATAGGACAAGTTTTTGGTCTAGTCTGTACCGAGGCAATAATCACTTGCTCATCTGTACATTGAAAGTTAGCTGCAATGGTTCCTCATGTTAACACTGGCCATCAAGAGATCCCCTCTGAAAGTGTACGTAATGCGGGACAAAATCCAGTTTCCATACTAAGACTAACTGTGGAAGATACACACCTAATTTGTCTAATGTTTATTAGCTTATTTTGCACAGAATGAGGATTTTCGATTTTGGCCCCCATCACTTCACATAAAATAACATTAGGGAGGGATTTATATGTGGCCAGTTTGGACAAGAGCAGTGGTGAAAGAAGTACTCAATTTTCAAACTTACGTAAAAGTACAGACGGGAATGAAGAGAAACACCAGACATTTATCCACAGGGACTAACGAGCAGGGCGGGAGCAACACAGGTGACTGGGATCAGGGTTAACGAGGCAGATAGACAGAAGGGAAAAACAGAGTGACTAGATGGCAGGCAGATTACTGGATGTGAGCAGACATCACACAAGTACTGAACACTAAACAAAAGAGTAATATAAACAAGCGGACCGATCACAAATGAACTAACACCAACAAGGAACACAGACAGAGGCTAAGGTAAAACAGAACTCAGACATGGGCAAAACACAGAAGTACACCAACCAGGAGTGAACACTAAGACAGGAACTAAGGTACAGGACTAAGAACTAAGATACGAGGCAAGACAGATACTAAATAAGATGTGGATGAATAATAAAAGGCTAAACAGAGACTAGAGCTGAATGAACAAAATCAGATTACTGAAACTGGCAGAGAACATAAATGACACCTAACCAACAGACGGAACCCAAGCATGGTGGTGGGAAACTAACACAGGAGGGACAGGAACAGAACCAAAGTACTAAGGCAGACACCGAGATAACAGGACAGATCAGAACCACCACACAGAACAAGCAGAAGACAGGATACAAGACCACAGACAGACAGGACTGAAACAGACACAGAGAAACCAAAATCAAAACACCGAGATAATAATATAACACAGACAAGCTCAGGGCAGGATCGTGACAACAATAATAGGATGATGTTATGAAGCGGCAGTTCTGAGCAGGATATTTTTATTATAATTACAGAATATGACAGTAGTTTGATGTCTTATCATTATGCAGCTATTATTTTGAAATGGTCAGGCTACAGCCTACTCCTTATTTCTCTAATAAATACAGAAACAGGAGGGGGGAGGTCACATTAAACTAGAAATAAAATATGTAAAAAGTATTGGTATCTTCTGGAAAAAATAGCTGGTTTTAACAGACCTCTACGCACTAACTCAGTACTCATGCAGTCTGTTGAAGGGGCATTATGGAATTTCCAGCGGCCTCTAGCTGTGCGGTTTTAAGATTTCTACCAGGCGTGTGCTCGTACGCGTGCTCGCTTGAACTCATGAGCGAGCATATTCCAGAACACAACCACTTTCATACAGAAATCCTGCAATAAACGCAGGAACACCAGAATGCAGGCTGGATTTATTTATTTATTTATTTCAAGCAAAATAATGTGACAACAGAAAAGATACACAATAATAATAACTTATACACTTATGCTTGAAATGGAGTGGGAAGAAGTAAAACTTCAAAGGTTTTTATTTGTCACATACTCATGCAAGATGCGCAGTGAAATGTGTTTGTGACATGTACTGTACTTCTGTCTTCAATTGAAATAAAAAATAAAGAGTAAGATAAAAGAATACAATAGAATACAATAAATACAAAACAACAAAGATTTTAACAAAAGTTGTAATTAAGTTATTATAAGTTATAATTAAATTATGGTTATGGATACTTTACATGTGCAATAGTTATGAATGAAGAATGTGTATATATATATATATATATATATATATATATATATATATATATATATATATATATATATATATATATGAGCGAGCAAATGTTAAAGTACAATGGCTGGGATAAAAATGTTAAAAGTGTACTAAAAGTTAAAAAGTGTTCAGAGTGCAGGGCTCTGATTGCCACAGGGAAAAAACTGTTCCTCATCCTCTGTGCGTTACAAACAGTTTATTGCAAGGGTGATGGGGATCCTTGATAATCCTTCTGGCCCTGTTTGTGCAGCATGTAAAGTCATGCAGAGGGGGAAGTGTGGTGCCTATGGTCCACTCCGCGGCTGTGGCTTTTCACTCAGACATGTTCAGGCTCTGTTACTTCAACGTTCCCGTCTCAGAGGCAGATCAACACAGGTTACTTCATTCAGTGCAGCGAGCCGCATATCGGCACAATCCTCCCGAAAAAAGGCAGATTGACACATTTGCTTTTTGCCGTTACATCCATTCTTACAGGCTAAATCAACAGTGGTACACAGGATAGTAACATGGGTCACGTTAGTTGGTGAAGTAATGTGGAAAATGATAAAACTTTGCACCGGATAACATTAGCAACTGCTTGGCATTAGCTGGCAAGCTAACGTGACTTTCTGTGTTTCTCCAGCTTTACTAATGCTCACTTTGTTCTTACTCAACATCATCAGTACATAAACCTTTACTGTTGTTTTTTATCATTACGTGGACCTGTGTTTTGCTGTGAGAACGGAGAAAACAGGCGTGTGCTTCATTTCTAAGTGAGTTTTGAGCCCACTGACAATAAGGCAATGAACATTTGATTAATTTCATTGAAAAACTTACATATAGTCCCTTTAATACTGGGGGCCAATCTGCTGGTTCATTGTGTCCTGTGCTCATACTGGCTGAGGCTGGATGTGGATCAGCTGTTCTTGGTCTGGCTGATGACCCGGTATCTACTCTACTGACAAACTTCAGCACAGCCCCTGTAGATTATAGATATTTTCTATATATTAATGTTATCAGCTCCATCAGGTCCATTCAAACTGGCTCCTCCAAGTTTCCTTCAATACATTTTCAAATATAAAAAAATATTTATAAAAAAACGTTATAGTTATGTTTCATTCAACATTGTTCAGTCACAGTCTGAGAAGTAACCAAGACACAGACGGACAAGAGTAGCGCTGCTGAGCGGAGAGAACACATTTTTACTTGATGTTCACGCAGTTTACTCTCATTGAGTTTTTTTCTTTTCTCGTTCACTCTTCATCCTGTCATCATAGTCGTAAACACTCGCATTCACCTTTGACATGAGAGTGAGGCGAGGCCGTCCATCTCCACGCTAGAGTGACCTGATTTCTGCGGTGTCGCATCAACTGTCACTCTACATATGGGCATTTTAGCATTGTATTTATGTTTGCTTGAAGAAATGTGTCATGTGTTTAGTTTAATTAGCTTCTTTTATTTATTCTCCCGTCAGAAGAAAGAGGTCTTTGCGACAACAACCTGAGGCTGATGAGACACCACACAACAGAGCAGAGGTACAAACAAAAACATGCTGTTCAGACTGCAGAGTCACCGGTCAGCTGAAAACTCATCTCAATGGTGCATCACTTCCTTCTTTGACTACTTTATTCACCTTAATTAACCACATCCTCCTTTATCTATCACCCTCCCTACTAGCAGCCTTCTCTATTTACACCTGATAACCTCATGGCCAATGTTAAGATTAATCTTAAATTCATTTTATAAATGAACAGCCTTTATTTCAGTATTTCTTATAGAGGAAGAAAAAAATCAGACTCGGGTTTACCTGCCAGCTTAAAGAACAGGTTCCCAATTCTCATAAATTTATTAAAATTCATACGTAGTTTAGACCTGCTACAAAATGGTGCCTACCGCCTGAGGCCTTGAGACACACTAGAATAAACAATACACACGGCCTTGATGCAGAGAAATTATTAGTTAGTCCCAGTAAAAATTTAATTTTGCCACTACAATAATTATCGTCCAGTAAGTTGCTCCCTAAGAATGTTCTGTCTTCCTTCCTAAGTTAACGTTAGTGCTGAAAGCTGTGTGTGAATTTTGGCCGTGTTCTTTTGTTATGAAATGAAATGCTTTGTGCAACTTGTTTTGGCCGTCGCGCCATTGTTCCTTGATGTTCAGTGCAGAGCTGTAGTGAGCTGAGCTTTGAGGGTCCAACCGAGCTAATGTTAAACTGAATAAATTCCTGTAACGTTACCATTTGATGAGAAATCTGAGCTACAGCTACATGCAATCGCCGCTGACGAGCGGATGAAATTCCCTTTTGGTTGAGAGAAACTTAACTTGATATTGTGATTTATTGAGATAATTTTAAGGCCTATAAGAGGCAAACAGATTATAGTTGCACTGTGCCAATGACTTTGAATCGAGTAAATTAAACCAGACTCTGGTGATCGATTTTGTTAACTTGATTGAGACACATAAACCATTGTGTTGACTCTCAGGTTAAATTAATAAGGAGTGTTACTCCTTGAGTGTAGGATTGAGCACGGGCTCTCCTTTTCCCCCTTGAATACCTGCTAACACATTTAAAGATCTATTGGGTGTTTGCTTGTAACAAAGGTACATAGCCAATTTTATACCCTAACCTAGGATTACACTGAGTAGTTCTATTCATTTTGATGCAATCTTTTATTCAAAGATTTGCTTATCTAATTTTTGATCTAGCTGTGTTTGAATAAAAAGCTTTATTCTCATTACTGCTGCAATATCCCAGATTTTGACTTTGTCATTTTGAAGCCTTTTCTGTAGTGCTATTATTTTTGATCCTTGCAGGAATAAGATAAATACAGAATAACATCTTGATTGGAATTTTGTTAACCTTTTGTTGTTTGGACTGATTGGAATTCTGAAACCCACATTTAGCTTGATAATTTGAATTGATTGTTTTCCAACTCAGGTTTTCTTTAATCCCTACCTTGTAAATGTAACTTGGACTCTGACTTTTTATAGCAATTAAAAGTTTGATAACGTTGATAATTACCAAAGGGTAATTAAGATTCAGTTTAATCATTTTTGATTTTTATCTTTAATTTGATCCACTTTAATCAACTTGGGATTTTTTTTCATTTAACTTTGAACTTTGAGTTTATTAGGGCCCGAGCACCGTGCGAGGTCCCTATTGAAATTGCTCGGATTATTAGGGCCCGAGCACGACCGTGCGAGGTCCCTATTGAATCTGCTCGGATTATATATTTTTTTTTTTTTTTTTTTTTTTTTCTGCAAAGTAGGCCCAAATGACATGGCCTAAACATACTCGAAAACTCACCAAAATTTGCAGACATGTCAGAACCGGTGAAAAATTTCGTATTCTACAAGTTTCGCACATGGGCGTGGCAAAATGACTCGCTAGCGCCACCTTGAAAATTGGAAATGATTAGCCCCTCGTTCACGTTCAACCTACATGTACGAAATTTTCTGGGGACATGTATCGTATCAAGACGCACAAAAAAGCCTCAAGAACCCATAGCCTAAAGTCAACAGGAAGTCGGCCATTTTGAATTTTATGGCCATTTTTGGATGATTTACACACTTCGTACTTTAACGAACTCCTCCTAGGGATTTAGTCGGATCGACCTCAAATTTCTGCTGTGCCTTCTAAAGGCATTGACGATGAAAAGTTGTGCTATTTGCGCGTTTTCGTCAATGGGCGTGTCCGTGGCGTCGATGATTCGCAATGAAACAGGAAGTTGTTGTAACTTCAGTGTACATGCTCACATCGGACCAAACTGTACATGTAGGATGAGAGTCCCGCCCTGAACACATGTACATGCCGACATTCACCCACAGTCATAGCGCCACCTGCTGGCAACAGAAAGTGACCTTTAACGAAGCAGCCCCCGCCGCACGTTTCACCTACGTGCACGAATTTTCTGTGGTACGTGTATCTTGTCCAGACGCACAAAAAAGTCTCTTGGAGCCGATAGCCTAAAATCAACAGGAAGTCGGCCATTTTGAATTTTACGTCAAATTTTGGATGATTTACACACTTCGTACTTTAACGAACTCCTCCTAGGGATTTAGTCCGACCGACCTCAAATTTGTGCTGTGCCTTCTAAAGGCATTGAAGATGAAAAGTTGTGCTATTTGCAAGTTTTCGTCAATGGGCGTGTCCGTGGCGTGGCGTCAAAGATCAGCTCTTCGCCATGACACGGAAGTTGTCGTAACTTCAGTGTACATGCTCACATCTGGACCAAACTGTACATGTAGGATGAGAGTCCCGCCCTGAACACATGTACATGCGACATTCACACAGTCATAGCGCCACCTGCTGGCAACAGGAAGTGACTTTTAACGAAGCAGCCCCCGCCGCACGTTTTACCTACGTGCACGAATTTTCTGTGGTACGTGTATCTTGTCCAGACGCACAAAAAAGCCTCTTGGAGCGATGCCCTAAAATCAACAGGAAGTCGGCCATTTTGAATTTTACGTCAAATTTTGGATGATTTACACACTTCGTACTTTAACGAACTCCTCCTAGGGATTTAGTCCGACCGACCTCAAATTTGTGCTGTGCCTTCTAAAGGCATTGAAGATGAAAAGTTGTGCTATTTGCAAGTTTTCGTCAATGGGCGTGTCCGTGGCGTGGCGTCAAAGATCAGCTCTTCGCCATGACACGGAAGTTGTCGTAACTTCAGTGTACATGCTCACATCTGGACCAAACTGTACATGTAGGATGAGAGTCCCGCCCTGAACACATGTACATGCTGACATTCACAGACAGTCATAGCGCCACCTACTGGCAACAGGAAGTGACTTTTAACGAAGCAGCCCCCGCCGCACGTTTACCTACGTGCACGAATTTTCTGTGGTACGTGTATCTTGTCCAGACGCACAAAAAAGCCTCTTGGAGCGATGCCCTAAAATCAACAGGAAGTCGGCCATTTTGAATTTTACGTCAAATTTTGGATGATTTACACACTTCGTACTTTAACGAACTCCTCCTAGGGATTTAGTCCGACCGACTTCAAATTTGTGCTGTGCCTTCTAAAGGCATTGAAGATGAAAAGTTGTGCTATTTGCGAGTTTTCGTCAATGGGTGTGTCCGTGGCGTGGCGTCAGAGATCAAGTCTTCGCCATGACACAGGAAGTTGTTGTAACTTCAGTGTACATGCTCACATCTGAACCAAACTTTACGTGCTTGATAACTCTCCCACCCCGCTATGGAGGACCGATCCTGACACAGTCAGAAATAAATACAGAAATAAATAAATGCTCAATAAATAAATAAGCATCCAATTAAATACACAAAAAAATAAGTAAATAAATAAATGTAGGTAGTAATTAAATTATACAAGGAGACATAAATGTATATTTTAATTAGTGCCTTTACTTATTCACCTTTGTTATAATTACCTTATTTGTTTATTCAACTTTATTTATTACTAATTTTTTTAATGTATTTATTTATGTGTGTGTTTTAATATTTTTGTCTGTTTTATTCTTCCTTTGTATTTATTACCTTATTTATTTTCACCCATGGTATTATTTCTGCCTGTCTTAAATTTTTGTATGCATTTCTGCCTCATTATGCAAATGAGGAGGGGCTGTGTCTCAAGGGGTCATCTTCTCTGCTATTGGTGGACCAGTCAGACAGGAGAGCTCCTACTCTGCCTGCAGACATCAACGATCTTGCCCCTCACACAGTCAGATGGCTTCCTTCAGTGCGCTGAGGTGTTTAACAACTCTGAAGACAATACTACCAGCAATGTCTTCCTTCTCTTTTCACGTAGACGCTCCGACAGACAGTGCTTTCAGTTTGCTGCATGCATGGACACAGAACTGCGGTATAGGGAGAAGCACACGGTCAGCTGGCTGCAGCTAAATCTGGAGTGCACTCGTATTCAATTCTGTATGGTAAATTCAGTTTTAACGGAGCAGAGCGAGCTGACAGGCAGAGTTAGAGACTTTTTCTGTCCGTTTCTCTCTTTACAAAGACGCATGTTGCAGTCAGAGTCTTCTCTGAGATGCGAGCACGACATACAACACAATTTATCAAATTACACAACGGATATACAGTATGAAAATAAGATTGATTGGATTATACTCACAGGAAGTATAAAACCTCTTACATGGTCTATTAAAAGTAAGTAACACAAAAATGTCAGGGAAATTACTTTACTTAGATTTAAGTACTGCAGTTGTACATTTGAAATACCTTCCTACCTTTCTGATAGGAAGCCTTCTTGAGGTGGTATAAAACATTTCTTCTTATATTCTGATTTGAGTTGTGGACAACTATGACCACATGAATTAAAAATTAAACATTTCACTGCCCAAGTCAGCTATAACACAAGTCTTGTTCATCAGACTACATGCTGTACAGTATTTGTGGACAGATTTTGTCCCAGGATTTTTATGCATTTCTTCTTCTTCGTTGCATGATTTAGAATAATAAGGTGAGAAATGGGTCTATTCTGAGTTCATCCTGCACTGCAGCAGCTAATAAAGTCCATTTAATCCCAAAAACGCTTTTCTTTTAGGCAGGCTGGAGCAGAAAACAACTCACCTTTCTCAAGTTGTACAGTAATGTCACATGTGTATGAAGGTGGATCAAACAAGCTAATCTTAAATGTCAAAGTAGAGAGGAGCCTAGTAGGCCTATTTATTTTCATTCATTACACAATATGAATAAG